ATACGGTAGTGGCATAAAAGCAGATACATAGATGAATGGAACAGAATAGAAAACACAAAAATGAACCCACAACTATATGGTCATTTAATCTTTGGCAAAGCAGGAAGGAATATCCAATGGGAAAAAGAGTCTCTTCAACAAATTATGTTGGGAAAACTGGACAGCAACATGCAAAAGAATGAAACTGGAGCACTTTCTTACAGCATACATAAAAATAAATTCAAAATGGATTAAAGACCGAAATGTGAGACAGGAAATCATTAAAATCCCAGAGAACACAGGTATAATCTCTTTGACACCAGCTGTAGTGACTTCTTACTAGGTATGTCTCCTGAGGCAAGGGAAACAAAAGCAAATAATGAACTAATGGGACGTCATCAAGATAAAAAGCTTCTGCACAGCAAACTAACAAGGCAAACAACAACAAAACAAAAAGGCAACCTATGGAATGGAAGAAGATATTTGTAAGTGATATATCTGCCAAAAGATTAGTATCCAAAATACATAAAGAAGTTAAAACTCAACAAAGAAAAGACAATAATCCAGTTAAGAAATGGGCAAAAGACCTGAACAGACATTTTTCCAAAGACTTACAGATGGCTAACAGATACATGAAAACATGCTCAATATCACTCATCATCAGGGAAATACAAATCAAAACTACAATGAGCTATGACCTCACACCTGCCAGAATGGCTAGAATTAACAACACAGGAAAGAAGATGTGTTAGTGAGGATACAGGGGAAGGGGAACCCTCTTACACTGTTGGTGGAAATGGAAACTTGGTGCAGCCACTCTGGAAAACAGTGTGAAGGTTCCTCAAACATGTAAAAATAGAACTACCCTGGGGCGCCTGAGTGGCTTAGGTCATGATCCCAGGGTCCAGGGATTGAGCCTGCTTCCCCCTCTCCCTCTGGCCCCTGACCCTGCTTGTGTGCTTTCTCTCTCCTTAAATAAATAAAATCTTTAAAAAAAAAAACAGAACTACCCTATGATCCAGCAATTGCACTATTATGTATTTACCCAAAGAATACAAAAATACTAATTCCAAGGAATGCATGCTCCCTGGTGTTTACAGCAGCATTATCAACAATAGTCAAAGTTTGGAAAGAGACCAAACATCCATCCACTGATAAATGGATAAGGAAGATGTAGTGTGTGTGTGTGTGTGTGTGTGTGTGTGTGTGTGTGTTTGCGTGTGTATTTGTGTACATACATTTTGTGTATATGGAATGTACAAAAGGAATGTTAATCAACCAAAGAAGAATGAAATCTCCCATTTGCAATGAGGTGGATGGAGCTAGAGAGTATCATGCTAAACGAAATAAGTCAGAGAAAGACAAACACTGTATGATTTCATTCATATGCAGAATTTAAAAAACGAAAGAAATGTGGGGAAAAAGAGAGGAAAACCAAGAAACAGACTCTTAACCATATAGAACAAACTGATGGTTACCAGAGGCGGATGGGTTAAATGCGTGACAGGGATTAATGAGGACACTTGGGATGAGCACCGGGTGTTGCATGTAAATGCTGAATCATTACATTGTGCACATGAAATAATATTATAAAGTAGGTTAACTAACTGGAATTTATTTTTTTTAAAAGATTTTATCTATTTATTTGACAGAGAGACAGACAGCCAGAGAGAGAACACAAGCAAGGGAAGTGGAAGAGGGAGAAGCAGGCTTCCCACCAAGCAGGGAGCCCGATGCGGGGCTCGATCCCAGCCTGGGATCATGACCTGAGCCAAAGGCAGACACTTAACAACTGAGCCACCCAGGCACCCCACTAACTGGAGTTTAAATAAAAACTTGGGCACCTGGGTGGCTCAGTTGGTTAAGCAACTGCCTTCGGCTCAGGTCATGGTCCCAGAGTCCTGGGATCGAGTCCCACATCGGGCTCCCAGCTCCATGGGGAGTCTGCTTCTCCCTCTGACATCCCCTCTCATGCTCTCTCTCACTCTGTCTCTCTCTCTCTCTCAAAATAAATAAATAAAAAATCTTTAATAAATAAATAAATAAAAACTTAATTTTAAAAAACAGAATGAGAGGTGCCTGGGTGGCTCAGTCTATTAAGCATCTGACTCTTGGTTTTCGGATCAGGTCATGGTCTCATGTGCCATGGGATCAATCCCTGTGTTGGGCTCCACACTCAGCTGGGAGTGTACTTGAAGAGGCTTTCCCTCTGCCCCTACCACCCACTCATGCATGCTCTCTCTCTCCCCAAAATGAATAAATAAGGGGCTCCTGGTTGGCTCAGTCAGTTAAGCATCTGCTTTAGTTTGGGTCATGATCCCAGGGTTCTGGGATCAAGTCCCGAGTCAGGCTCCCTGATCAGTGGGGAGTCTGCTGCTCCTTCTATGCAGACCCAGTTTGTGATCTCTCTCTCTCCCAAATAAATAAAATTTTAAATAAATAAATAAATAAAATATTTTTAAAAATGAATGAAAACGACAAGCTGCAGACTGAATAAAATATTTGCAAAACACATATCTAAAAGAGATTTATATTTGGAATACATAAAGGATAATCAAAATTGAATAAGGAAACAAAAAAAGATAACAGCTAAAAATTTGAGAAAAGTTTTTACAGCCATTTGACCAAAGAAGTTATACAAATACCTAACAACCACATGAAATGCTTAACATCATTAGCCATTAAGGAAATGACAATTAGTGTGATACCACTACATACCCACTAGAATGTCTATAGCTAAAAAGACTGATATACCAAGTGTTAGAGAGAATCTAAAAAAAGCAGAGCCCACAAACATTGCTGGTGAAGAAAATATAGTACAGTCACTGTGATAAATCACTTGCAAACACCTCAACAAATGATACATACACTTAGCATATGCTAAAACAAATTCAATCCTAGGAATCTTCCCAAGAGAAAACCTATGTCTAAACAAAGACTCCCATGTGAACACTCAGAGCATTGTATTAAATAATTACAAAAAAGTGGCAACAATCCAAATGTTTCCCAATAAGTGAATGGGCAAACAAATTGTTGGACATCCACACAACGGAATACCCCTCAGCAATAAAAAGGAAAGAACTAGTGATACAAAAAACAACATAAATAGATCTCAAATGCATAATGCTAAGTGAAGGAAGCTAGACTCAAAAGGCTGAGTTGAGAAAGCTGGATTACAGAGTAAAGATTAACCAAAACATTTTTTTTACTCCAAAGGCTTTAATATCAAAGACATTTTTTAAAGATTTTATTTACTTATTTGATGATCACAAGTAGGCAGAGAGACAGGCGGGGGTGGGGGGAAGCAGGCTCCCTGCTGAGCAGAGAGCCCCATGTGGGCCTCGATCCCAGGACCCTGAGACCATGAACTGAGCCAAAGGCAGAGGCTTAACCCACTGAGCCACCCAGGCACCCCTAATCAAAGACATTTTTAACAACATGAAAATAAAAAGTTTTAAAAAGTAATGACCAAACATAATTCAAGGTTCTTCATACTGAAAATACTAGAATTACTCTGATAAGAATTTATATAAACTAGGCGCACAAAGCTAATCCATCAATTTCGTGGTAAAAGGCACCTTTATGATGATTAATTTTTTCAGAATTTACGTGAGAGAATAATTCGGAGATGACAAGTTTGAGAACCATACACAAATTAAATTGTATCTGTAGACACTATATGACCAGAAAATACACTGGCCCAGGAATCATGCAACTTCAGTTCTAGTTTTGCTTTGGTAATAGGTAGCTGTGTCACAAGTCACTTCATTAATCTAAGCTTCCATTTGGTAATCTGTAAAATGAGGAGATTAGACTATTGAAGTCATATGTAAGACCCTTTGTAGCTTTAACACATGTCTATGTCAAAAAATGAACACGGGAAACATTCAAAAAATTTTTGTAAGACAGTAGGGGAGGTGGCATCACTATATTCCCTGTAGGGTAGTCTTGTATTGACTTTGGGACTTTTGGTTCTTATGGTTAGAAGGTGTGAAACAAAGCCATTTAATTTATTTATTTATAATAGTTATGTTTATTATTTATTTATTTATTATATATTTATTTATAATAGTTATATTACTAACTCAGGTTCATTACAGACAAATTAGAATATATTTATAAACCACTCTTCTCATCAACATTCTGAGATGAATTATAGCAGGAATGTGTTAAGGTGGTCTGAAAAAAGTCAATTTTATTTTTGCAATTGGTAAGTGAAATGAAGGGGCACCTGGGTGGCACAGTAGGTTAAGCATCCAACTCTTGGTTTCGGCTCAGGTCATGACCTCATGATCATGAAATTGAGCCCTGCATGGGGCTCTGTGTTCAGTGTGGAGTGTGCCTACGTTTCTCTCTCTGACTCCCCGCCCCACCCCCTCACCACCCCCACTCTCTCTCTAAAGTAAATAAATAAACCTTTTTTAAAAAATTGAAGTGAAAGGGGTGGTTGACTGGCTCAGTTGGTAGAGCATGTGACTCTTGATCTCAGGGTTGTGAGTTCAAGTCCCATACTGAATGTACACACTACTTATATATATATTATTATATATATTATATATATATATTATATATATTTAACTAGAAACATTTTAAAAATTGAAGTGAAAAAGCTTAGAAAATTACACCTTGTATGCATGTGCTTAAGGAAGATTACATTATTATTTCACATAATAACTGTCATGCTATATAAGAGAAGAAAGCCCAGCACCCTTTCTCTGAAAACATATATTTTAGTTTAGTATGAAATTAAGAGTAATATATATTTATTTATACATATAAAACATAAATCTATAAATATACAACCATGGTAATGTCAAGCCATCTTCAGATGTCTTTAAGTTAAAACTACAATTTCTTATTTTTTATAAAAAGAAAAGTTAAAGGGGCAAAGAAAATATATTAATCTTCTCAGTCTTTATTGCCAAATGTGTCAGTATATCTGCTTCTATCTCAGTGTTTAAAATAATTTTCTAGAATTCCAATCAACATTTGACTTTACTTATTTCCAAAGACTAACTTACTTTAATATGATGTACACCATTCAGTTTTCCAATCCGCTGCTCAATGGTCCAAACACAGGAACTACATGTCATCCCCTCAACAGAGATGGTGACCGAATCCACACCCATACTTCGATCCATCTTGATTTCTTCTTTACATTCCTATTAGAAACAATGAACTCACTAATTTCAGCCATGGAAATAATCCTTCCTCAACTTTCCCCCCAATTTCTCAACTGAAATTATTCTACAAATAAAATATGGTCAGCATGGGGCGCCTGGGTGGCTCAGTTGGTTAAGCGACTGCCTTCGGCTCGGGTCATGATCCTGGAGTCCTGGGATCAAGCCCCACATCAGACTCCCTGCTCAGCAGGGAGTCTGCTTCTCCCACTGACCTCTCTCCTCTCGTGCTCTCTCTCTCTCTCTCTCTCTCTCTCAAATAAATAAATTAAAAAATATATATGGTCAGCATTCTTTTCTCTCATCTCATTTCACTCTCATCTCAGGACCACTGCTTTAGCTATTCCCTTGGAATAGACTTTCTTCTTCCAGATACCTGCTTAGCTAACTTCATCTCTTTCAAGCCTTTACTCAAATATAATCCCCATAATGAGTTTTACACTGACCACCCTGCTTAAAATTGTAATCCACATCCCTTCCATACATATCCACTCTGATTCCCCTTACATCTGCTCTATTTTGTCTTTTTTTTCATAGAACTTATCTTCTAATATACTCCATAATTTACTTACTGTGTTCATTGCTCATTATCTGCTTTCCTGTGGTGGTTTCAAAATGTGCTCACAAATTCTTTGTTACTCCTTCTTTCAAAAGGTGGAATTTGGGGCGCCTGGGTGGCTCAGTCGGTTAAGCATCTGCCTTCGGCTCAGGTCCTGGGATCGAGCCCTACATCAGGCTCTGTGCTCAGCAGGGAGTCTGCTTCTCCCTCTCCCTCTGCTTATGTTCTCCCTCTCTCTCACTTGCTCACTTTCTCTCTAGCAAATAAATAAAATCTTCAAAAAAAGAAAAATGAGGTGGAATTTAACTACTTTCCCTTGAGTGTGACCTGTGCTCAATAACTTGGTTCCGAACAGAATATGGTGGAATAAACAAGGTGTAACTCCCAAAACTGGATCATAAAAGGCAGGCACTATGGGAGAGGGGTAAAAGTCACTGTGGATTCCTCCTTGTCTTTTCTCTTGAATGGCCCAAGCTGGGGGAAGCCATCTGCCATATCATAAGGACACTGCTTGAGTGGTTCATGTGGCAAGAAATTGAGGCCTCCTGTCAATAGCCCTTGTGAGTGAACCATCTTAGAAGCTGGTATTTCAGACTTAATTAAGCCTTTAGATGCCTGAGGCTCCAGTCAACATACTGCCTACAATCTCGTGAAATACCCTGAATGAGAACCACCCAGCAAAACCACTCCCAAATTTATGACTCACAAAAATTCCAAGACAATAACTGCTTGTTGTTTCAAGCCACTGAATTTTTTTTTAAGATTTTATTTATTTACTTGACAGAGAGAGATCACAAGTAGACGGAGAGGCAGGCAGAGAGAGAGAGAGAGGGAAGAAGGCTCCCTGCTAAGCAGAGAGCCTGATGAGGGACTCGATCCCAGGACCCTGAGATCATGACCTGAGCTGAAGGCAGCGGCTTAACCCACTGAGCCACCCAGGCGCCCCTAGCCACTGAATTTTTAGGTAATTTCTTACACTGCAATAATCAACTAATACATGTACCACTGGAATGAAAATTGTATGAAGGCAAGAATCTTTTGTCCCCACTTATAACTAATTTGAATCACGTGAAATTGCCATTGTTGCATATCAAAATAGTCAAATATTGCCATTTTCATATAAATCAACCTAATATATCCCATGGAAACAGTGTTTTCCTCTGGTGAGAGGAACTAAATGGTTAGGGGATAAGGGTGGAAAAAAGAATGTTTAGTATATAACCTTTTATACCTCTTTTTAAAGTTGAGATACAATCGACATAACATGGTATAAGTTTAAGGTGTACAATGTGTTGGTTTGATACGTGCATGTGTGTGTGTGTGTGTGTGTGCGCGCGTGTGTCTGTGTAGTGATAGGATTACCACCATTAGCTAACACCTCTATCACATCACTTGTCATTTTTTTTGTGGTGATAACATTAAGATCTACTCTCTTCTGTATCTTTTAAATTTTGTAACACAGGATATATTATCTTTTCAAACACACACAGTAGACCTGAAATAATAGAAAACAGTAATAGGGAAGGGAGTTTATAGCTGAGGCATTCTAAGAATCCTGCTCTTATTTGGAATGTTAAAAAAGAGATAAACCTTAGATTTTGAGTGAAATAAGTCAAGCAGAGAGAGTCAATTATGGTTTCACTTACTTGTGGAGCATAAGGAATAACACAGAGGACACTGAGAGATGGAGAGGAGAAGTGAGTTGGGGTAAATCAGAGGGGGAGACAAACCATGAGAGACTGTGGACTTTGAGAAACAAACTGAAACTGAGGGTTTGGGAGGGGAGAGGGGTGGGGGGTTGGGTGAGCCTGGTGGTGGGTATTAAGGAGGGCATGTATTGCATGATGGAGCACTGAGTGTGGTGCATAAACAATGAATTTTGGAACGCACACACACAAAAATTTAATTTAAAAAAAAGAATACATGTTAAAAATTTAAAGGTAACCAGTAGAAGACTAGAAATAGAATATAAAGCTTCCAAAACAGTAGAAGAAGAAAGAGAATAAAGAAAATTAAACCAAACCACTAGACAGGAAGGAAGATAAATGAAAATTACAAGAAAAGAAATAAGAACATATTTTTATAAAACTCTTTTGTTTAAAGGGTAAAGTGAAATGATTATGATAAAAGCAGCACTAGATTCAGGCTTAAGAAATTATTCAGGGCGCCTGGGTGGCTCAGTGGGTTAAAGCCTCTGCCTTCGGATTAGGTCATGATCCCAGGGTCTTGGGATCAAACCCCGCATGGGGCTCTCTGCTCAGCAGGGAGCCTGCTTCCCTTCCTCTCTCTCTGCCTGCCTCTCTGCCTACTTGTGATCTCTGTCTGTCAAATAAATAAATAAAATCTTTAAAAGAAAAAGAAATTATTAAGGAAAAAAGAGAGACTTCCCAGTGCAGATCTGAGGGCCTCTTTTAGAGCACTACAGATTACTCATGTTTAGGTAAATTACGGGGTGTTAATTAGATGTTTAATTATGTGGACATTTGGAAAAATTTTATTTGGAAGAATATTAGCTCAATGTAAAGAATTTGCAAATTGTATAGATTTGCAAAAAAAAATCTTTTTGAAAAGATCACAAATTATGTAGAAAATACCGTTTTGTATAAGAGGGAGAAGAGAAATACTAAAGTAAAGTAAAACTGTTACCAAACCAATGATAAGCAGGAAGTAACCAGTTATTATGAAGATGCTATTACCTAAAATTGAAGTACAAATAAAAATACAAGTCTTGGGTCCAATAAAATTAATCCAGTATTCATTAGGGGGTCTCCATGCCCTTGGATAAAGATCCTGTAGTGTGGCCATAATCAAAAATTAGAGACACCAAAGTGTTTCTCTTAGACTTATTTGTCAAAATTAACAATGGCCAACTACAGGACTCAAAAGGGGGTTTACAAATACCAAGATTTACATTGACTCTATTTTGCCCTAAAAGTCATTTCTTTGAAAAATGCTAAACTACAGGAGGGAAATTTTTTTAAAAAATCAAAACACTGTGTAAAAATATCTCTAGAAGGACTCACAAATAATCAGTAACATTAGTTACCTCCCAGAGGTAACTAATGCTTCTGCATTTTGAATTATGTAAATACAAAACCAATTCAAAATAAATTAAATTTATAAAAAACAATTATTAAAACATTTCTTTGCAGTGAATTTATTCCATGTGGAATAAAAATAATTACTACATCATCTCAGCTTTGCTAAGCTCAGAGAAACAAACAGAAATTGCTGCTGAATCTCATCCTCTGCTCCTAACAAAGCAAATAAGTAGATTCTTCTTTCTTTGACCGATTTCGCTGGAGCTTTGAACAAATGGACCACCAATATAATTTCCAAATATCTAAAACCACAGAATTTCCTTGGGGATAAATTGTTTTCAAATGTTAATTGGTTTTTAGCACATATTTTTCATTATATATATATTCTTCTTTGAGATATAATTCACACACTATAAAATTCACCCTAAGACAAACAATTCAGTGTTTTTTAGTAATATTCACAAGGATATGCAACGATCATGACTATGTAACTGCAGAACATTTTCATTATCCCCAAAAGAAACTCCATACCTATCATCAGCAGTCACTCCTCAGTCCTCTTACATCTACTGGCAAAATGAATCTACTTCCTATCTCTATGGATCTGTCCATCCTGGTAATTTCATAAAAATGGATTCATTCAATATGTGTGGCCTTTGTGTCTGAAATTCTTTCACTTAGCATAATATTTTTAAGGTTTAACAATCTGTACTTCGTTTTTTTCACTTTCTTGATGGCATCCTTTGAAACAAAAAAAAACTTAATTTTTATGAAACCAAATTTATCAATTTTTCTTTTGTTGTTTGTGCTTTTGATGTCCTATATATAAGAAACCACTGCCACACAGAAAGCCATGAATATTTACTTCTATGTTCTAAGAGTTTGGTAGTTTCACTCTTACATTTAGGTCTTTAAATCCATTTGACTTAATTGTTGTACATGGTGTGCAGCAGGGATCCAAGTTACATTCTTTTACATTGGATGTCAGCTTCTCCCAGAACCATTTTTTAAACAGCTTTACTGAAATACAGTTCGCATATAATTCACACATTTAAGGTGTAAAATTCAATAGGCGTTACATTCACAGGTATGTGCCACCATTACCACAGTCAATTTTAGAACATTTCTGTCACCTCAAAAAGAAGCCTGATAGGGGCGCCTGGGTGGCTCAGTGGTTTAAAGCCTCTGCCTTCAGCTCGGGTCATGATCTCAGGGTCCTAGGATCAAGCCCCGCATCGGGCTCTCTGCTCCGCAGGGAGCCTGCTTCCTCCCCTCTCTCTCTGCCTGCCTCTATGCCTACTTGTGATATCTCTCTCTCTCTGTCAAATAATTAAAATCTTTAAAAAAAAAAAAAAGAAGCCTGATACCCTTTATCTATCACC